TACTCTATCAAACAAAAGTACTTCTCTTGAAATGTCCAGTGCCACTCTTTTGTATAGACATCACGCAACTATCCTTTATTGCATCACTATCTACCATCCTTTTTATTTGTTTTCAAGTTTAAGTTGTCTATTAACAAAACTTAGTAAAAACGACCTACATCATTCTTTATATATTACTATTTCAACAGATTACTTGTTTCTCACCTTCTTTATATATCTGACTACTAATTTACACGACACAATTGTTTTAAGAATATTTAGTGCACTTGATGGAATTTCAGATAATTTAATCGTAGAATAATCAAGAATACACGATGATGTTGCACGTCCAACACTTTTATTATCACCAAGATGTTTATCATTTGCTTCACTACTTTCACGATCTTCATCTCCACTACAATCAGTATCATTTTCAGAATCGGACGAACATATTATTTCAAATATTTCAGGTGAATCAATTTTATTATTTTTACGTTTTTTTTTTGTTTGATAAAAACCGACTTTGACAATATTATTTAATCTGTGTGCAACACAGTTCGTTGTTGAATATGGTTTAAGTGCTTTCACGAAGTTTGCACCTCGGTCTGAAACGAAATTTACTTTTGTTAAATCTGTTATTCCAAAAGGTTCAAGAGCTTTTTTAATAGCCTAAAAACGAAGTGATAATGATGCATTTCAAAATAACAAAGAACTCACAGCAATAATACTTGGAGCTTTTTTATCATTTTCAGTAAATGGAGCACAACAAAGATCATAAGTAATAAATTGATATTTATCATTAGTAAAGCATACAGATATGCCTAAGTACGAAATTTGACGGTATGGGTCTGTCCATAAATCTGGACATACAGTTACAGCTTGATTTTCTAAGGGTTCGATTAATTCTTGTCGAACTTTAGCTCTACATTCATCTGCTAATCCAGCAATATGTGATGAAATACTAAACCTACTGTATAAAACATCATCCACACAAATATTTCCATATTTTGCACCTATAATAACACAAAGGAATGAATGATAGAAAATATTTGTATAAATAAAAAATACCAAGTGAAATACATTCTTGAACAAGAGATCGTAAACCACTATCATCGACGACTGAAAAAGGACGAATATTGGTGCATACCCATTCAGCCTGTAACTTCTTTATTTTATTTTTTTCACATTCTTTAAGTTTAACAGATTGAACAGTTTTTGAAGTATAAGAAAAAATATTTGATTGTTTCAAAGATTGTGAATGATTTTGAGAGTTTATTACTGAAGATGAAAATGATGAATCATTACATTTATGTCCGTTCATTAAAGTTGTACTGTTAGATTTAAACGAATATGTAGTAAAACAGGTCTGACATGAAACAAAACTATGAAATATCTTGATGACATCACCATCTTTATTAGTAGCAGCAGGAAATGCAAAACGTTTCCAGCACTTAGCTGTATGCTTTTTTGAAGCATCAGTAATTATTAAAGATTTTTTCTTAAGAAGCATATGAATTTTCTCACAAGTTATTTCAGTATCAAATAATGAATTATTAACAATATCAGGAACAATTACCAAAATATCTTCGGTATTATTTTCATTATCACTTGAACAAGACAAATACTTTGTTGTAGACATCCTATTGAGGAAGGAATATATATCAATAATTATGTACAAATAAAGTAAATTTTCATTTACTACGAACCTTTACGAAATACGATTATAAAACATAAATAAACTTTATTTTAATTCACGATGAAGATTTAATGAATATGATTTGATAAATATAAATAAGTAAAATTTTAAAACACCACAAATGTTTAATAAATATGATGATTTCAATACAAATAAATCAATTTTTAATTCGCTATAAATTTTCAATAAGTATGGTTATATAAATATAAATATATGAAATTTTGATTTATCACCAATATGTAATAAATGTGATTCTATAAATAT